TTGCCAATAACACTGTATACGTAATAATAACATCGCCGACGCAGCACGAGTCACCACACCAGCAATCCAGGCATTCCAAACATCTGTTACCAGTTGGAGTGCATTTTTTTTTACATTCTGTTTCATGTTTTTTTTATTTCTCCAGGGGCCAAGCATGGCTGTGTAAAAAGTGCTTGGTAATTGGTAATTCTTTGGTTCACTACATTGTTGCCCTCTAAATGAAGCAGTATAATATGGAATGGCTGCCTGTTTCATCATCTTGCAGCAGGCCATGAAACAGTATAACATATGCACAATCACAAAGGGCCGCATACAAATGCAATGACCGACAAATACCCCTAAGCCAGGTATACTGAATGTGGAAATGACGTACACAAGGCTGATCAATTGCACATATACACTGTGTGCATGGCTGGCATAGAGTGGAAGTGTCTGAAAGTGTTTTGACAATTTGGAAACATTTAAGATTGCTGGGGGAAAATTGGGATGGTATGCAAATTGGGATCATATGCAAGCTTTTAATGTAAATCAAGCAGCCTTCAGCTCTAAATGTGCTTTATAAGGTGACTGATGCAATGACTGTGGGTAGATGTGGGAATAAAATTGTCAGCTTCATGAACATTGGCAAAGCCACCAATGAGACTATCGCATTGTTTAAACATACTCATGAAAATAACATACACAAGCAAAAGATAAAGATATCCCAATGATTCTTGGAGACTCATAATATAGGTTTGTAGACTATTATGGCAAAGACTGGAGCGGTGCAAGTGGGAGAGTGGTTGTGGTCATGCAACACCCATATCATGTCCTAGAGGAGATCTAGAACATCTAGAATAATGTTACCACTGCTGTTATCCATTGCTAGAACAAAGGTGGTCAGAATCAAGGTTGTCAGAATTGTATTTCAGCTTAACTTAATACTGTGAAGCAGCATTAGAATTCAGACGTTATATCGGTGCCTACTGCCTGCATTGACATTAACAAAGATGAGGTAACAAAAAACAAAAAAGCACAATAAAGCGTAGAGAGGTGCATATGAAACAAAAAAACTAATGGATAAGAGGATATGCAACTGAGATGATCTGTAAAACAATAAAGTAAATGGGCTTGGGCTGGTGGTTGAGGCGAACTATGGAGTGGTGGCCAAAGGAGGGAAACTGCCCGAAATAATTCATACGACAGATATGGAGTCATGAAATCAGCCGGTGTTGGTGCTAGATGAATTGTTGCATCAAAAGACTATGAAATAGTGACGGCTTAAGGCCTTCGTTCGGCGCTAATTAGATGAGAAGGTTTATTTCTGGTGAGACCCATTGAGCTAACAATCTCTTTTTCAAAGGCAATCCATATGTCATTCCTGATATGATCACTGCTTTGCAGCACATGGCAGCAAACGTCTAGTGAGGCATGCCGGTGATCCAGCATTTTATCACGTACATTTGAGGTGACCAAAATATTTCAGTGCAGCAAATTGGTCCTTAAGCCTTTCAGTGTGAACCATTTGAGTGGCGACCCCTTTTATGCTTGAGATTTCTCTGGGTGCTCTGGTTTCCTCTCACATACAAAGCACTTCGTAGCATGGAATTGGCCAAACAACCGAAGCATATTGAGACTTGGTTAGGCTTTCCTGAATAAACGGTGATAATATAATCCCAGATTACTTCTGTGTGAAGATTTACTCCGCACCACGTCAGTCACGGGGTCTGTTTGACCACCAAACTGCTCAGTGCGGGTTAGTGAAGGGGGAGCCCGTGGCAGCTTCAGTGTTAACTCACCGCTGATAATATCCATGGCCAGGAGTGAAAACCAGTATCAGGGTTGGCATAGCGCAATGTGGTGGTAACTGCTCCACCCTCATAGGGTTATTACATTTATTTCAACACTGGCATTAAAACATTTTAAATATTCTTGAAGTTAATATTTTATCTACTGTCATTATTATATATTTCTGCTTCCAGTGGGGTAACCTCAAATCTGTCGTTTACAAAACTCGACCAAGAACCCTGTGAATGAATTGAGACAAAACACAATTAATGAATGTTGAAACGTGACACCTGTAATCCTAAAAAAGACGTCTTACATTCATTTCAAAAGAGAATTAATACATGCATTAATGTTAATAGAAGTCGGTTTGAATATTTGTTAAAATAAATGAAATCGATCTTTGTGCTTTGTTCAAATAAATATAATAACCCTATATGTGCTGACTTTTGGGCAATCCTGTATATCCTTCACAGAAACACACACTCACTTAAATAAATCATGCCTTGGGTGTATATATCAAATATCACTGTTTTAATCGTAAGAGCGCTGGTTTTCAAATGTACGGAAATTAGTTCATCAGGGCTATGCTGCGACCTTTAAACAATTATGTATTTCCACTTTCAAGACGTAATGCGATTACCAGCCCTACATCACCAACCCACGTACATCAGCAGCGCAATGTTAAATAGCACGGCTCCTTTCGCTTAACAAGCCCTCGGCATCTCAAGACAGGGACATTTTTCAGGGCAATAGCTGCTGCAAACGTCGGTTACTTGTGAGAAGTGGCTTCAGACGTGGGTGGTTCTCACCAATTATCCCAAGGTCCTTAATTTGCTGTGCCTCTGAGTTTGTTCTCTGAAACTTACCATATGTCAATGTCAAATATGGTCAAGAAAGTGTATTACGTGCTTGGGAAATTGAGCACGCTTGCTCTTGGACTTTGGGTAACCATCACCATCATGAAACGTATGCATGTTGAACTTCTTTTACACCGTACGTAGCCAATTGTGCTAATTGGAGGCGCGGGGAAGGACAATAAACTAAATACAAAAAGCTGTTCTAAATATTTTTTTTCAACATAGATGATTTAAAATTGCATAGCTACAGTGGCTTCCTATTATCGGAAGGAAGAGCATTCCAGACAGACGCAGAAGCGTATCTGAAAGCGTGTGATGCGGCTGTATGAATCACATCACAATGCCCTCTTTCATGGAGTGACGTGTACTGTGACAAGACATAATATTTGGTAATACTGTCTGGATTGTGAATTTTAGGGCATGTTTGATATCATACCACATTAGCGTAAAGCTTTGTTTCATTAAACACAAAGATCTGAACATACGTATAGATCGTTGGGGCAATTGCTGTTAATGAGGACCTATTAAGGTAATGCCCAATGACCTACATAGCTCTTTTCCAGAAGCGACCTGGCCACAAATGATAGCCAACGAAGTGGCTTATCACGTGGCAATTTACAGCTGCAAAATACGCTAAAGGCATGTTGCTAAATGTGGAGGGGAAAAAAACTAGAGGAGCCGGAGAAAAATCAACGTGATCACGGGGAGAGAGAACTTGCCAACTCCAAATATTCAGGCGTCAGGATCGAACTAAAAACCTCCTGTATACCGGGTGAGGTAGTTAACATGTCGCCACCGGGGCGCCATTAATGCTGAGTCAATGTAGGTGAGGCTCATGATGGGTTTTGATACCACTTGCCCACTGATCTTAGGCATGGCCAAGAAGTGAATTGAGGTCGTCAGGTTCATGGCGTCACGAGAGATTCACTGCTCTGCCCCGCTTCCCATAGAAAACAAACACGCTCACATTGCTTACACTCGACACAATAGTTAACACGGTCTATCGACAGGTCTCACACCTCCGCCAAGATATCCAGCAAGCGTGGAAGAGGAGGTGCTAGGGCTGCTGCCCCTCGACTCCTCGTTCTCCTGTGCCCCCCCCCGCTCTCCCCTGCTCCCCCCCTCGCCGCTGTTCCTCGCAGAAGCATGATTAAAATAGCTGTACCACCCACCGCACCACGCACTCCTCTCCCTCCCCGTGCTCACAGAGACGACACGACACGGATTAGTGTCTACTGGTGGTTTATTCTCTATTTAATTAGAGTTAATCTACCTGTGTCGGTGTGGACCAGCAGGACAGATCTAACCTATCCCCCTACGGTCTGATATTCAAGTGGCCTGTCCTCCCTCTATTCTCTTTCTCTCTCAGGATTTCTCCCCTTGCCTTACCTCGCCTCTTCGTACTTTACCGTCCGACCTCGTGGTGTTGGGGGGTCGCGGAAAGATGATGCTACCCGTGGCTTCTGCTGGGTAAACTGAATCCGTCTGCTTTCTGACCCGTCTCACGGACGTTCCAGAAGCAGGGAGATGACGACTCCTCGATTCCTCCCTCCTGTTGATCCTCAGCAAAAAGAGAGCTTGCTTCCCACTTTCACTCCTTTTCATCCCCAGCTTCAGAGCCTACGTGCCGCCGACCCGCTGGCCCCTTATCCAATCGGTAGTTTCGCCTCTGCCGCCCCGCCCCCCTGTCGTGTATTCCTCCCAAAGGGCAACCGGTGCCGCCCCGCCCCCCCACCTGCCTGCTGGTCCGCGGGTGCCTTGGGCATTTCCTCAATGCGGTCCTTAGTGAGTTTGCCGTGGCCATACAATTTTAAGTCACTCCAAGGCGCCGCAGTGTCATTCGGCCTGGGAGGGGTTCTGCCAATTTCCTGGCTCTGAGAAACCGTGGAGCACCCCTACGAGGAGGTCTCCCGGGTAAAAACTCAGGGGCAGGCGACCCTCCCCCCCACGAGGCCCTACGTGAGGGCAGGTGTGTGTTTATGTGGGGGGTGGTGGGGGAACGCTGTGACGAGAGCCGGGTGGCTCCTCGGCCACGGCAGCACAACGACGGTCCCGGTCTCGACGGAGTGGCTTCGCTGCCGTGGCATCACATAGCCCCCCGAGGTGCCAGCACCTTGCCTGGGTTGCCCCCACGAGGTAGCGTCGTGGGAGCATCCAGTCCTTGTGGCCGGCCTCGGGGGTGTGTGGCTCCGCCTCCTGGGGTTCCAGCGGCGGTCTCCTTCTCCACTCCAACGGTTCTCCTTGGCCCTTGGCACCTGCGGGCTGGGGAACCAACTCAGAGGCGGTAGGGTTTAAGGGCCGTCGTCCCCATCGCCCCCGGCTCGGGCCGGGGCCCCTTGGGGCCCGGGTCTCCGTGGGGCCCATATACCGTGTGAGGCCCCCGGGTATGGGGGGTGTGGGGACCCCGGGGTTTCGGGGTACTTGAACGGTGGGGTTCCCCCCCGCTGGAGCTGCTCGCCATGGTTTTAGTCAATGGACGTTGACCACCATCTCCCGGCCCTTCTCTCCTCCCTGAATCAGCACCGTTCAGGGGGAGATCTGCCGTCCCATGGTCCAGGGTCCCCGCCAGTAGGTGGTCAGCTTCCCCACCTGTCCGGCCCCGACGCGAGGAGTGTGCAGCCACACTTTAGAGCCCGCCGAGTAGAAGGGAGGCTCCATACGGGGTCGGGCGCTCTACTCTTGTTGCTGGTGCGCGGCCTCTCCTTGCGGGTAGGCTCGGCCTCGGGCCCATCGTAGAGTCTCCATCAGGTGTTCCACGGGGCGGCTCCCCTCCTCCCGTTGCGGTGGGGGAACGCCAAACAACAGATCTGCGGGGAGGCGAGACTCACGGCCAAACATCATTCGGAACGGGGTCTGTCCCGTAGATGTGTGCACCGTGGTGTCATAGGCAAATAGGGCATAGGGGAGGTGTTCGTCCCAATCCTGTTGATTGGTGGCCGCCATATGTTTGAGCTTTCCAGCTAGGGTCTGGTTCATACGCTCCACCATCCCATTTGCCTGGGGGTGATACGCCGTAGTTCGGTCTTTCTGGATTTCAAACTCCCGGCACAGCGCCTGGAATAGCTCCGCCTTGAACTCACTGCCCTGGTCAGTAATGACTCGTTCGGGATCCCATGTTTAAGCACGTAGTGTTCCACGAATCCCCGGGCGACCACAAAGGCCGTTTTATCTGGGATGGCCATTGCCATGGGGTAGCGCGTGAAATACTCCACTGCCACGAGAATGTACCGGTTGCCTCGGTGGGATCGTGGGAATGGTCCCTGTAGGTCGATCCCAAGCAGCTGGTTCGTCCGACTGACGCGGAACGGTCTCAGGGGTACCTGGTACCGCGTCGGTTTCTGCCCACACTGCTGACAGTCCCGGCAGCCCTGCACCCAGGTGGCCACGTCTTGCGCCAATTTAGGCCAGAGATACTGGCGACGTAGTGTCTCCCGAGTGCGTCGTTCCCCATCATGGCCCCCGAGCGGGTGGTCGTGCACTAACCGTAGCAGCTGGGGCCGCACCTGGGCGGGGACACAGATGCACCCCGGCTGTCCAGCTTCGGTTTGTTCCCTCACCACTCCGTTCTCTACACACAACCGGGCATACAAACCGCTCCAGGGTCCTGGTAGGGCAACCTTTTTCTCCCGTAGGGCCGCCTCCACCGCCGCCAGGTCCGGATCCCGCTGCTTGGTCTGTCTCAGCTGCTCGTCGTCGAGGCCTGGAAATGCACAGCCGACGTCCTCTTGGATCCGAACGGGCGGGGTTGAGCGGCCCGTCGGGCCCCGGGGTGTGGGCTCCATGACCGCCGGGTGGTCCACCGGGCCCCTGGCTCCTCCTGCCGGGGTCTCTGTGGCACATACTGCACTTTCTCTCATCGGAGGAGGGTTAGTCTCAGCGCGCTCCTGGGGGGGCGTTGTCTGTCGGCAGCATCCCCACGTGAAGCACGGGCAGGCCTCCTCGGCGCACACCGCAGGCCGCCTTGACAAGGCGTCCGCGTTTGCGTGCGTGCGTCCGCCCGGCCCGGTACTCGATCTGCAAGTTGTACTCCTGCAACTGCGCCAACCATCGGGCCATCTGCCCCCGCGGTTCCTTGAATGTAAGGAGAAACTGCAGGGCATAATGGTCGGTGCGTACCCGACATTTCCTGCTGTACAAATACGGTCGGAACTTTTTACACGCGAAGATCACGGCGTACAGTTCTTGACGGGTCACGCAATAGTTCAGCTCAGCCCCGCTCAGGGCCCGACTGGCGTATGCGATGACTCACTCCGTCCCACCCTGCACCTGTGACAGCACCGCACCTAGCCCACTGCTGCAGGCGTCGGTGTCTAAAATAAAATCGGTGGTGAAATCGGGGAAGGCCAGGTTGGGGGTGTGGGTGAGGTGGTCTTTGAGGGTGGTGAAGGCCGTCTGGCAGGCCCTCGTCCACTGATAGGGGTTCTTAGGGGATGTGAGTTTGGTGAGGGGGCGTGCAATCTCGCGAAATCCCTTTACAAATCGACTATAATAGGTGGCGAGCCCCAAGAACGACCTGATCTCTGTCAGGTTCCTTGGCCGTGGCCAATCCATTACGGCGCGTACCTTCTCCGGAACGGTGCGCACCCCTGCCTTGCTGACTCGGTGTCCGAGATACCCCACCTCACGCTGTGCAATGTAACACTTACGCGGTTTGAGCTTGAGATGGGCTGCTCGCAGTCGCTGGAATACCTCCCATAGCCTGGACCAGTGCTCAGCCAGAGACCTACTGAACACTATCACGTCGTCCACTGCTCCCACTGCAAGCCCCGCATCACCAACTCCATCAACCACTGGAACGTCACGGGCGCGTTAGTGAGTTCGAGCGGCAGCACCCGAAACTCGAACAGTCCCATCGGGGTGGTAAATACGTTTTTTGGCCGATCCTCCTCCGCCATCTCCACCTGCCAGTACCCAGACGCCAGATCGAGGGTGGAAAAATATCGCACTCCTGCGAGACTGTCAAAGGTGTCATCGATGCGTGGAATGGGAAAAGCGTCGCCGAGGGTGACTGCGTTCAACTTCCGGTAATCAACGCAGAATCGGGTCGACCCATCATTTTTTGTCACTAGTACCACCGGGCCAGACCAGGGGCTCGCTGAGGGCTGGATTGTTATCGCGGAGCATATCCACAACTGCTTCTTTAATCTGGCCCCGTTCAGGTGCGCCCACTCGGTATGCGGGGATTTTAATGGGTCGGGCAGCACCGGTGTCAATTTGGTGCTTCACAAGGTCTGTCCGACCCACATCCGAGTCATGTTCACTGAACACGTGAGCGTGCTCCCGCAGTAACCCGCGCAGCTGATCGGCCTCCCTCTTAGGTAACTCTGCCCAGGGTACGTGTAACGCGTCAAGCAGGGGAACGGTCTCGGCTTGGGGAGTCGGGCCGACTCGCCAGGCCAGGTCCTGGTTGTCCTCGGGGCGCCCGGGGTCCTCAGCCCAGAGTGCAAATACTGAGTCGTTAGAATGGCGCGCATGCAGGGGGTGTATGGTGGCTACCGGGGTGCGTCGTTGTAGCATTGCTGGGGTACTGTGTGGGTTAAATACCCGCATAAACAGTCGGCCTCCATCTGCGTTGACCAGCGTGGCTGATCCCACAACTCCGTACCGTGCCGCCAACTCCGGGTGAGGAGTTAGCATTACCTCGCCCAATGGTCTGTGTGTGGGGTCAGTGGAGGGTGTTGCCACGGGCACCAGCATCTCGGCAAGCGGGCTGATGGTGACGGCCGACACCAGAGTAGCGGCCACGGGCGTGAAGCAGGGGCGATTCGGCTCTTGTCCTAGGAATGGAATCCGCTCTCTGCTGCCTTCCACCGTGGCACATCGCTGGCGGGGCTGCACGTTGAGCCCCAGTTTCTCCAGGAGGTCTGTGCCTGCGATACACTCATGGCACAACACACTCGAGACATAGAATTCCTGGGTGCACGTCTGGTGCCCGAGACGGACCTCGAGGGAGATTCTCCCCAGCAACCCCATCCCGGCTCCACTCGCCGTGTGCAGTGCGCGATCCGGGGCCTGCAGGCAGCTCACATCAACCCCGAGCACGCTTGAGTGTGTGGCGCTCACGAGTGAGGCCACCGCTCCCGTGTCCAGTAAAATCCGGGTGCGCTGTCCGTTCACCTGCCCTTCTACCAGCGACGCGGCCCCCGTGATTCCCACCACCAGCTCCCGCAGCCAGTCGCCCGTCCTCACCGCGTCCTTGGGTGTTGTGGTCGGAATCTGTGTGGCGGTCACTCGCTCACCTCTAGGTGGTCCATTCTCTAGGGGGCGTTGGCATTTAACCCTGGCGCGTTTCTAGCACGGGCGATCTGAGGGCAGTCTCTCACGAGATGCCCTCGACGGTCGCACAGGTAACATGCTCGGGGAAGGGCGGCGGCCCCGTAGGAGCCTCCCCGCCCGCTCCCTCTTTCTACTCCCGTACGCCGCTGCCCAGACTCTGCCTCTAGTCGGGCCACCCTCCCAGTAAGCCCTCCTACCGAGGAGCGTAACTTAAATTACGAGCAAGACCGTGTAATAAGCATATTCGTAGAGACCTCAGCGGTTAAGGTATATTTATCCATAAACTGTCTTCTGACCCACAAGTGAGCCGCCCTAACCCGTGCTCAATCAAGGCTTATTAGGGGGGGGGGTGAATACCGTCCCATAGGCCTCGCTAACATTCATCACGTGGCATTTCATTCCTCTCTGTTTGCCTCTTTTATTTTCTACACACTTCTGTCCTCATTACCATTTTAATCAGAACCCCTGAGGGCAGTGCACTTTCCTATAGCTGACACCGGGCTAATATCTATTTCCTTTCCCTGCAATTTCCACGTCAATTTCAAAAGCCCCGCAACGTCGCTTTGAGCCACCGAAATAAAGAAAAAAATGTCCGGGTTTTCCCGCGGACCAAGGTGAACACTACCGAGTTGGTTGTTTGGCACACGTGCAACGCAATAACCTTGCTAGCGCACCAGGGCAAGCCTGCTATATGTATCTGGCTCATATTGTGCTGGGATTATGGTATTAAATGAGAGCCAAATGCCCAGAAATGTGTGTTTTTTATATAATGATGTTGAAGGAACGATTAGCACTTGCGCTACGTCGTATGCAAGGCCTATTCCCATGAGTAAATTGGAGTGAGACCGACCTTTATTTAGCTGCTATAAGTTAAGACACTGTTGAGCTGTCATTTGTGGCCAGGTCGCTTCGGAAAAACAAGTTAATACCTCAGTGGGCTTTGCCGGTTAGGATGGGGAAAGTCTAGTTTTATTTGTATATTTTGAGTGCTTTGTTTACCTTTATTGCACTTTGTACGACGATCGTGTTTTTGTATTGATTGTTGTTGTAATGTTCTTACCCACCCCGACTGAACATCTGTAAAAAAGATATTCATAGCTCATCGGATTCCTCGAGTATACATACATATTCTGATTCTAATGAAATATAAGTTTCGTGTTAAATTGTTAAACCTTCCCCAGCTCTGTCAACCCAGCAAAATCAATGCATGGGTTCAACACAGTTAATTAATCGGCAGGTCGCGTATGGTTGGGTAAAGTGTAAATACTCCCACCTCTCGGGAAACATGAGTGGATGCATTTGATTAATTGTTTGCACAGAAATGAAAAACCTCAATTGTGGAATTATGCCACAGTTATGATTCTATTAAAAAAAAGGGAAGACAAACGTGTCTTGGAGATTTGCAGACATATTATCCTCCTATCAAATGCATATAAAATGCTCATGAATGTTATTGGAAAAAGAATAATGGGTAGTTTAGAGGCCAAACAATCACGTGAGCAACCTGGATAACTGGATTTAGGAAAGGGGTTTCTAAAATGGATCCCATACTTACTATCAACTCAATTCTGGAAAAGACGACTGTACCTTCAAGCTTAGCTTTTGTAATCTGTGAAATTATATTTACTTAAGTGGAAATTGAAGTGATCCATAGCTCTCACAGGCCAATGCCTATACTTATTGTTTAATCGTGCAATGATACGAACTATTAACAAGGTTTAAACAGCTCCACTGAGATTGCATGAAAAAGTAACAACATACAAATCAAAAGCGAGACAGCCAAGGACATGCTTTGAACAAAATTATTCACAATGATATCACTAAATATTTTCCAATCATATAATTTGTGAAATAAAGGCATAGATATGCGTTTAGAATGTATTAACGAACTAATATTTTTGCATGACATACTGCAATAATGGTAGCAACCAATGGAAATGAATTACAGGAGGCAATTGAATGACTGAACATAGACTAGATGTGCCAAAAAGAAAAACTGTGGAACAAAAGCTTAAAAGTACACAAATTATGCAGAGATACAGGCTTGGAAATATGCTCAAAGACAGAAAGACAAACACGTGGATTTGTGAACAAAAGCAAATGCATACATCATGTTGACTACCCAAACTATGGACCATGTAATAAATCATTGTGGCCTGTGCCCCTTCAGTGGAGGAGGAATAGCAAAGCGACACAAACTCTCTCTTTGAAGTCCCCCCGTGGCAAGCAGAACTCGACTAACGGTACTTAGCTCCCGAACATATTGACTACACAAGAATAGAATTGTTAAGAAAAGTAAGTTGGCATGGTCAGGACTGATCACTTTGAGTAATGATGGCCGATGGTTGAGACTGACCATGGGTTGGCAGCCAAGACATGGAATGCGTCACAGAGCACATTCACTGAGGCGATGGAGGAATGAAATCAGCTTGTGTGCAGGTGCGAGGTTCATCATTATAAGAATTATATCGCTAGAAATGGGGGAAGCTCGGGTAGGCCCTTATCCAGCAGAGGATTGACTCGTAATCTTATTCTCGTGTCCTGCCACCGCAGTGTCATATGTGTGTCCAGTATCGAGGCATGTGCTATAGCCCACCCGGTCTGTAGCCCTGGCGAGGATCTTCCAGGAAGACCACTGCAGAGAAGGAGTTTTGAGATCAGCTCGTGCAGGAGCCGGATGATTCTGGCATCCCTGCTGCACATTAAGAGGGATGGCGACGACATCAGTGGATAAATCATCGTTGACAACGATGGCGATAATTTCATGTAGGGCTTACGTATTCAATGCATTGTATAATTACAGGATATCCAACGTTTTTTTTATATTTTAGTGCGTACATATGAATACATCACGGATGCTGCTGTGGCGTAACGATAATCACACCGGACTTGTAATTCAGTGGTTCAATTTCCCGGTGCAGGAAGCTTAAACTATGGGGAGAGTTTTGTTTCACCCCCCTGGCTCTGTCCACCCAGAAGTGTTAATATGTGCACCACAGTTAGCAGTGGCGTGAGCAAGCAATTCCAGGGCTGCACCATTGCCTCGTACACCATCTTATTGTTCGAGATACAGCACAGTAAGAGTAATTACACTACGGGAAAGCCACTGGATATTGACATGATCAATAATCTCAGCCTCAAGAAATGCGCTTCGTCACGAGGGACTCGAAGTGCACTGACCAATAATAGGTTATCACTTCAATAACGAATTAATGTGGATGTTTGTTGAAATTTAATGACCTTCTTTGAAATATAGTTCCACATTTATTTTCCATTTATGTCAACGTTACCGTTCCACTTGTTTTTAAAATAACTTTGCTATGGACAATTACAGTAGCAGGATAAACTTGACAATGATTTACGACACCTGACTTAAACGATATGATTCTTGGTTTAGCGGATACATTATTTAAACTAGACTATAATATTTTACAACCTTTAAATGTGCACAATTGGTCAAATGTAACCGACACGTGCATTTATTATTCAAAACAAAGTAACAGTTAACTTTACACAGTCTCGAGTAAGACGTTTGGAAACTTTTCATCATTCGATATGTGAATGATGCTCATCACGCCAAGTTGATATCACACGCACAGCAGACATACATTGTGACAATTTTTAACAACAGTTGTCTAAAAATATGAATTTCATTAATATTTTAATTAATGTTCATTTAAACGTAAACGATGTTAATAATTCTCTACAGGGGCTCTGTAGAGCTCCCTCTCGTGGACATCCATCTGCCAGTAGTGGCATGAGCAAGCAATTGCAGGGTGCACCTCACGCTTTTATTGTGAATTAAACAAAGCTTGGTAATTATGAAGCATATATATTCAATGACAAATATTAACATGACCAATTGCTGCACTAAATGACTAAATTAACGTCCTCGTAAATCAGGGTAAAAAGCATTGCATCATCATCATGAGTGACCATTTGTGCAAAAAAGATCAAAGGTGCAGTGACACGAGTGTGATTGGTAACATTAGCATTGGAGTGAGGTACGAGAGAGGCGACCATCAATTAAAGTTCATAGACAGTAAACACACGAATATAAGGAACACTTTTTCCCCCCCAAAAAAAAATAATCTAGGAGATTTGATTTGAAAGATTCCAAAAGGTGAAATTGCAAATGGGAATACTGCACTACCAAGCATTTGAACGTTTGTTCAATGTCAATCCGTACTGTAACGATATGCATTGAATCAAGAACGCAAGCGACTGGGATAACAAGATTTAGCAAATTGCCTTGGTAGCTTGTGTGAGGGGTGGGAGATGGCTATGTCACTCGTGATGTTTTTTTTTTCCCTCGGCTCACATCCACGGACTCCAAATGCCGCAGATTCACTGCTGGCAATGGCAGAAAAAGCGATGAGGCTGGATACGCTACAAGCCACTGCCCATTGTTCATGGGTTGGCCAAAATTCAAGGACCGCTATTTATTACACCATGTGATATTTCTTGCGGTGTTCACGGTAAGTATCTATTATGCAATATATTAACTGTTGTTATAACACGATCAGTTATAAGGTATAGCAAAAAAACACGTTTCGTAAATTATGAATTAAGTCAATTGTAAGTTAGATTTTCGCGTGATTAAACAAAGGGAAAATGTAATGCAAATTCAGCGGAACTTTTTTTGAGAAGAGTTTGCAAAGGTAATGTTGCAAAATATAAAGTTAAAATGCCAATGCTATGCATCAGTGTAGGATTCCAAAACTTACGTGAGATTACATCAAAACACAAAATGAAAAAAAAACTTAGAAAAAAATGTCTGCCTAACAATACGAACAAAGTACAATTGCACGGTTCTGTAACCATCCACTGACATACGCCTTGTGCACTCACCAGCATGAATACACACGAGGAATGAAAGCTAGTTGGGAAGGGGGGGGGCTAATTTTGTGGATCCTACTACCCGTAGGATTATCCGAGCATGTGCAGATATGAATCAGTTCATGTGCAATTGAAGAGTTACAATGTATTTGTCCACAATCAGGAGGATTGCTGATGGAATAAATCGACACCAAAGGATGTTCCATTAAACCACGTCAGCAATATGCAATGCACTTTCGGTAATATTCGACAGAGCAGGCGTTGCATTCTAGTATCGTTTCGGCTGGGATGGTGCAGGAGAGTGATGGCCAACATACTGCAGCCAGGGTACAGAACATCAGCATAACATTTGCTAGGCAGCGATTATCGTAGACTTCGAAACTGCGCCGTGCGGAATGCCCGCATCACTGTTCACCGAGCGGTATGAATGGCTACAGCAGTCAGTAGATGACGAGATGTTAACTACGTCGCTTGATATGCAGGAGGTCGTGGGCTCGATCCCGACACTGACTCCTGTATATTTGGAATTTGCATGTTCTCCCCGTGGTTGCATGTATTTTTCTCCAGGTCCTCCGGTTTTTACCTCCACATTTAGAAATATTCGTCTGGAGTATTTGGCTGCTATACATTTCCATATGATAAGCCACTTAATTTAACTCTCATTTGTAGCCAGATAACGTGTGAAAAAGAGCTATATAGCTCAGTGAGCCTTACCTGGTAAAATATTCTTTTTAGTAAAAATATTTTTTTTATTGATAG